TCTATCTATCTATCTATCTATCTATCTATCTCAGCTTGTTTACATCTATCTATCTATCTATCTATCTCAGTTTCTTTACATCTATCTATCTATCTATCTATCTCAGTTTCTTTACATCTATCTATCTATCTATCTATCTATCTATCTATCTATCTATCTCAGCTTGTTTACATCTATCTATCTATCTATCTATCTATCTATCTATCTATCTATCTATCTATCTCAGTTTGTTTACATCTATCTATCTAAGCTTGTTTACATCTATCTATCTATCTATCTATCTATCTATCTATCTATCTATCTCTCTATATATCTCAGTTTGTTTACATCTATCTATCTAAGCTTGTTTACATCTATCTATCTCTATCTATCTATCTATCTATCTATCTATCTATCTATCTTTACATCTATCTATCTATCTATCTATCTCAGTTTGTTTACATTGTCTATCTATCTATCTATCTCAGTTTGTTTACATCTATCTATCTATCTATCTATCTATCTATCTATCTCAGTTTGTTTACATCTATCTATCTATCTATCTATCTATCTCAGTTTGTTTACATCTATCTATCTATCTATCTATCTATCTATCTATCTATCTCAGTTTGTTTACATCTATCTATCTAAGCTTGTTTACATCTATCTATCTATCTATCTCAGTTTATTTACATCTATCTATCTATCTCAGTTTGTTTACATCTATCTATCTATCTATCAATCTATCTCAGCTTGTTTACATCTATCTATCTATCTATCTATCTCAGTTTCTTTACATCTATCTATCTATCTATCTATCTATCTATCTATCTATCTATCTCAGCTTGTTAACATCTATCTATCTATCTATCTATCTCAGTTTCTTCACATCTATCTATCTATCTATCTATCTATCTCAGTTTCTTTACATCTATCTATCTATCTATCTATCTCAAGTTGTTTACATCTATCTATCTATCTATCTATCTATCTATCTATCTATCTATCTCATTTCTTTCAGTTTCTTCTATCTATCTATCTATCTATCTATCTATCTATCTATCTATCTATCTCAGTTTCTTTACATCTATCTATCTATCTATCTATCTATCTATCTATCTATCTATCTCAGTTTCTTTACATCTATCTATCTATCTATCTATCTCAGTTTCTTTACATCTATCTATCTATCTATATATCTATCTAAGCTTGTTTACATCTATCTATCTATCTATCTATCTATCTATATCAGTTTCTTTACATCTATATCTATCTATCTATCTATCTATCTCAGTTTGTTTACATCTATCTATCTATCTATCTCAGTTTGTTTACATCTATATCTATCTATCTATCTATCTATCTCAGTTTGTTTACATCTATCTATCTATCTATCTATCTCAGTTTGTTTACATCTATCTATCTATCTATCTATCTATCTATCTCAGTTTGTTTTTACATCTATCTATCTATCTATCTCAGTTTGTTTTACATCTATCTATCTATCTATCTATCTCAGTTTGTTTACATCTATCTATCTATCTATCTATCTCAGTTTGTTTACATCTATCTATCTATCTATCTATCTATCTATCTATCTCAGTTTGTTTACATCTATCTATCTATCTATCTATTTGTTTACATCTATCTATCTATCTATCTATCTATCTATCTATCTATCAGTTTGTTTACATCTATCTATCTATCTATCTATCTATCTATCTATCTATCTCAGTTTGTTTACATCTATCTATCTATCTATCTATCTATCTATCTATCTCAGTTTGTTTACATCTATCTATCTATCTATCTATCTATCTAAGTTTGTTTACATCTATCTATCTATCTATCTATCTATCTCAGTTTGTTTACATCTATCTATCTATCTATCTATCTATCTCTCAGTTTGTTTTACATCTATCTATCTATCTATCTATCTCAGTTTGTTTACTTCTATCTATCTATCTATCTATCTCAGTTTGTTTTTACATCTATCTATCTATCTATCTATCTATCTATCTCAGTTTGTTTACATCTATCTATCTATCTATCTATCTATCTATCTCAGTTTGTTTACATCTATCTAAGCTTGTTTACATCTATCTATCTATCTATCTATCTCAGTTTGTTTACATCTATTTATCTATCTCAGTTTGTTTACATCTATCTATCTATCTCAGTTTGTTTACATCTATCTATCTATCTATCTATCTATCTATCTATCTATCTCAGCTTGTTTACATCTATCTATCTATCTATCTCAGTTTCTTTACATCTATCTATCTATCTATCTATCTATCTATCTCAGCTTGTTTACATCTATCTATCTATCTATCTATCTATCTATCTCAGCTTGTTTACATCTATCTATCTATCTATCTATCTATCTATCTCAGTTTCTTTACATCTATCTATCTATCTATCTCAGTTTCTTTACATCTATCTATCTATCTATCTATCTATCTATCTATTTATTTACATCTACCTATCTTCTATTATCTATCTATCTCATTTGTTTTGAGCAGTAATCTATCTATCTATCTATCTATCTCCAGTTTGTTTACATCTATCTATCTATCTATCTATCTATCTCAGTTTGTTTACATCTATCTATCTATCTATCTATCTATCTCAGTTTGTTTACATCTATCTATCTATCTATCTATCTATCTATCTATCTATCTATCTATCTATCTATCTATCTATCTATCCGATCATCACTTCCTTCTTTTGAACAAGGCTGTTAACGAATCCAAATATATCCAACCTTTCGACCTTACTTTTTATGTCAGCTCCCAAACACATCACTCAGGCGACAGCAAACAATAAAACAATGTCCTTTTTCCAAAAAAAAAAAAATATACCACTTAAACGAAAAAGTAAAATTAAAGTGTATAAATGGATTACAAAAATTTCTACAATCATAAATTTTGTTCAACACTAAAATTGTCAAACTCAAAATAGAATCAATTTGACATAAAAATTGTTTGAAAAGAATTTAACCAAGACCCTGTAACGAGAACTGTAGAAACAAAAAGGAAATGGCAAACTAACTACAAATGGGAAGGAAGCTTTAGCATAGTTTATAATAAATAGTTAATAAATTAATTTCGATAGGAAAAGAATAATTAAAAAAAAGCAACAGCGAATTTTATCGGCAATCCCTCGGTAGGGTCCCCAACGCTGCACCAGGGATTGAATAATCGACGTATAATTTTCTTCAGGTTTCCCTTTTCTCAATCTATCTCGGAAGGGGCATAGTAATTAACAGCGTTTCTTCGAGGAAGCGAGTGGAAGAAGGAGATAGAGTAGTAGTCAGCCAGTTACCGAACATCATGTGGGGAAGCGATAACCCGCTAAGGAATCTGGGAATAGATAAACAAAGAAAATCCATCAGTTATAGTATTCCACACCCACGGATTCCAAACAAGCCATACTATCCCGTACGGTACCGTTTGCCTTTTTGGGCTAGTCTAATCATCCTGTGTAATATAAAAGGATATTTTTTTTTATTGAGTCGGTAAAAGTATAGCGGTTTTACTAATCTTACGTGAATTATACAGAGAGCCCTTAACTGAAAACCCCCAGTTCAAATATTGATTTATGGGAACATTAAAAGAAGTTGCGAAGAACAAAATAAATAATATATATCATTATATCCACATATTTATTTGGAAGCACATTGTACATCACAGGAAACTGATGATACGAATTGCATTTTTCTTGTGTCAATCCATTGTGAATAATGATGTCTATAATCAGTCATCGGCAACGCTTGACTGTCAGTCTAAAAACATTTAAAAAAAAAAACACTTTCTTCTTCATCTAGGAAGAAGAATAAAAATTGTCGTGTGCAGCTTTCAACAACTTGTCAGCTGGCATAAAAATACATTCGCCAAGATTGAAGATTTAATCTACTTCGACACAGGCTTCTAACGCAAATGCTTGGGCAAAGTGAACAGTCGGAATAATAGCCAGGAATAATCAACAACATTGTCGATGTTACTGTGCTGTTGTTAAGGATATTAGCCAAGTTATTGATTCTGAAATTCTTTTCTTAAAATGATTGTTAAAAATAAAACTTTACAAAAGAATTAGGAAAAGAGAGAAACAGTCAAATATAAAAGGTTATATGTTACTAACAAATAATTAAGAGCAAGGTTAAGATTTTTCCCATATGTATGTATAAATATGACTTCTGCCGTTCATCTATCACATTTTGATCTATCTATCTATCTATCTATCTATCTATCTATCTATCTATCTATCTATCTCATTTTGATCTATCTACCGATCTCATTTTGATCTATCTATTTATCTATTAATATGTCTTATTTTGATCTATCTGATTTTGATCGTTCTATCCCATTTTGACCTATCTCTCAATCTAGCTCATTTTAATCTATCTAATTTTGATCTATCTCATTTTGATCGATCCTCTATCTATATTTCATTTTGATCGATCTATCTATATCTAATTTTGATCGATCTAATTTTGATCTATCTATATCTAATTTTGATCTATCTAATTTTGAGCTATCTAATTTTGATAGATCTATCTATATCTCATTTTGATCTATCTATCTCATTTTGATCTATCTATCTCATTTTGATCTATCTTTCTTGACAGAAAATAAATTTACGACACCCCCAAAATGTTGCCTATTTTCATGTTTGAACAATATAATCCTGCTACAGCGTAATAGATATTTCGATAAAGTTTTGTCGTATCCTACTCGTGAACTGCTTTGAGTTTTAAATTTAAACAGTGGCACATGCTGCAATATGGTTACGTGTCTTGGAAGTAGCTATTGTATTACGGAGGAGCAAATCCGCTACTTTTGTTTAATTAAATCAGTTTGAGAATGAATCATCTTGTAGTGCTTTGTGTGGCTGGATAGTCATTTCAAAGTATTACTGCACTTGATGGATGCAGAGCGTTAAATGGTACTAGGATATTGGCTTCAGTGTCATAATGACTATCCCAACTAAAGTGCCACCACGCAACTGAGCCGCTCGCCATGATTGGCAGATTGTAAGAGTAACAATAGCAGGCCAAACGGCGTTCACACATCACAGCTCAGATTTAATGTGGACTCAGGAGTATCAACACAGTCCTATTGGGAAAATTAAATTGTTTACTTCCGTTAGAACTACAG